GTCAATGAAATCATTGAACTGTTTAAGGTTATGAGGTGAGCGGGGAGGAGGAGAGAGAGGAAAGATTTTATATTAGAATTCTATCTGAAGTTTATAATAAAATATAAACTAACATCCATATTATTTTCATTGCTGAATTTTAAAAGCATCAGAACTTGCGCGGTTCCGAATCAATGCTCCGAATCACTGAGTTCCTGTCCTAATTTATCTTTAGGTATCCCACATGTTCAGGAAATCCACTATGTAATGAAACAAACAGAAGAGTCTTCGAAATAAAATAACCATCTTCAGGATTCCCAGTCAATCCGAAATCTCTGGAAATGAGGAAGTGCCATTGAAGTTATTAAAACGTAGGGTTAGAAGATTATTTTAGAAGCCCATTTTACACCAGAAGGTTAAAATAACTTGTAATACCCCAGAATATATCAGAATTCCTGGAAAACTAGTTACTAAAGTTATCAAGTACATCTACAAAGAAAGTATTATAAAATATATTTAACAAGTTTATAACTAATGATCTTTTGCCGAACTTGCTACTTACGTACATTTTTACACCCACGAGGACCGTCTGAAGATATAAAAATAAATCAGCATTTTTTTTTATTTATTTATTTTATTTTTTTGGTCCCTGAACATCAAACAACAATGTAAACCTTCAACCTGAAAATTATATTTTGTGCGGCTTAAATGTTGGTTATCCCATTTTTTAAAATTAAACTATTTACTTCAGTTTTTAAAACTGGTCCGATATTTCTTTATTGCCACAATATTGATTTTTTTTTTTCTTATATTTCAAGAACTCAGTGCTAAAAAAAAAGAACTCGTGAATCGAAATTTAGCTAATGTTGTTTCAGTTAAACGCATAAACCCACTTGGATACATTTAAAAGGACTCCTAACCAAATATTTTAGCACTGGTCGCAAAAAGTAGGCTTAGTACATATTGATTACTCCCAACCCCCTTTTTTTTGTATACTTTCATTTAAATTATTTTTTTCTCTACACTTTCCTCCCAAATTATTTATGCTTAATATTATGTATCAATAACAAAATTAAACCTCTTCAACAGTTTAAATTTACTAGCGTTATTAATAGATAGAAAAGGAATACAGAATATGAAAAATAATTCTTGTTATAGTTTAAGCCTAGGTTTCAAATATCAAATATTAGATCTCGCCTGACGCCATGGTGGCCGAACATTTCAGAGCTTTGTCCGCCTTAACGTTCTCGAGTCTAGCGGTGCCGGTTCGTATCCAGTCGGGTTGTCAAGAAAATCTCATTTGTGATATTATTTAATACGAATATCTTTCAGTAACTATAAATCACCCTATTCATTAGGTTAATTGTATTGTTGATGCATTTGTTTACGTTTTCACATTGAAAGTCAGAAATTTGTAATTTAAATTTGGATAATATCAATACAAAAAGATAAATAAGAGGGAATTTGAAACAAAATACATGTTAATATCTACATGTTAAAAATAAATCTATTTTAGCTGTGTGTAACTATTTATAATTTGCTGCATATTATAAAAATGCCGAACTATAGATTAGAGATCATTAAATCGAATCAAAATATATAATGTAAATCGACCGTCATGAAGCTTTATAGCACGCGGATGAGTTCCATGTTATATAATAAATTAGACACGATCTATTGTCCCATTCTACCTATAAATATAAAATATTTACGTTTAAGTACTAAATTAAAATATTTTCATGTTTATTTATTATCAGCCAATTATACACCAAGTTTTAATATTGTCAACTTAATGACTACACATCTCAATTAACAACATCTCACAAGAATTGAGTAATATTGATGTTATAAAATAATTAAATGTGGACATGACAAAAATAAAAAAAAATATTATGAGTAGACGCATGCAATTCGCATAAGTGAAATGGACAGGTACATGATGAGTTTGTAGGTATATAAATAAAAAATCTTTATATTTTGAAATATGTAATGTTTAGATATAATTTTATATTAAAAAATTTTTTTAGACTTGAAAATGGCTTGACGAGCCGAAACGTCGTCATTGAGATGTGTAGTCATTAAGTTGACAATATTATATAATTGGCTGATAATAAATAAACTTGAAAATAAATAGTATACACCGAAGAAAAAGTGAGAAATATTGTGACTAAATTAAAATACTTTTTTTCAAGTCTGCTTCATTTATCTGAATGTTTTTGTACTGGCGAGACTTTGTCCTGTACTAACTTAAATTTTCTATTTCTTACTCTAGTTCCTCCTTTGCGGCTGTACATCGTTTTCAGTCAGACTTCTTGTTTATAAGAAGATCTTCAAATTCTCAAAATGAATTAAAGTGTTAATAAGGTTTTACATTACGCGACTATACGGCAATATAGAGGATCAGAACTAGGGAATGGAAAAGGGTCACTCTCTCCGGGCGCCACAATTTAGAGAGCGACGAAATTGAGTTTTCCCTGTTGCGAAAATCGTTCCACTCTTAGCAGTATGTATACATTAATCCACTAATATACGATGGATTCCAATACGTTTAATCGTTTAATGAGCTAGAGAAATACCTCTTCAGTCAGTAAATCTCCATCCATGGAGAATCCTAGTTATGTATATGCCATGCATTTTCTCTTGTCTTATCTGAGTATTGAGCCTACAGTAATACGTTTAAATAAAATAATGAAGCCAACTAAAGCTTTTAGTGAGTATATTTATATTTTTTGTTTCCATTTAAGTGATATTGCCGCAAGCGGTAAGCATTATTCAGATGAAAGCGCGCCTAAATTGTCAATTGCTCGCTCGAACGGTGTCGGAAGCGCGGCAAAGGTGGCAGCAACCGACGTCAAGGGTCAATAATTAAAATTAAAATCGACAAAGACGGTGCCGCTGCAGAGCCCGCCCAGCCGAAAATTCACGCCCCAAATAGCGCCCGGAAACGTTTTTTTTTTTATATCCGTGGCTACAGTTATCTGGTTGTTGTTGGTTCGCCTGCCAGATGGTCTATGGTTCCCTCCGTGAGAAAGGTGTATTCATCCCATATGTCATGCGAAAATATATTTCCTATATTTTTCATCACTTGTTATTGGTATCTGGTTAGATTTATTAGTGTGGTATTAGTATTTTTTAATGTTTTTATCGTTGACTTAGATAGATAGATAAATAGAAAATAAACTTTATTCTGGGACGTGGTCCCTCATGAATAACAGTTATGAATAAAAAAATTATAACTACATCTGGCCAAAAATTACATTAATCAACATTAAAGAATATACATAGTATCTTCAGTAAAAGTTCATTAAAACAAATAAAAATAACACAATTTTTAAAAAAAAAAACCACAGTATTTAGATGAAAAAGACAAACCAGAAATCAGGTAAAAAATAAATAACAAAATAATATAAGCATGGGTTGATTTTTAAAATTAAAACTCAAGCAATTTTAACAACCATTCACCTCAGTCAAAATCTGTTTCACAATATTTATTTTATTGTACAACGTCATTTTGGTATGTGACAAGGAATTGGTAGAGATGATATTTAAATAAGGACAAGGAAGAGGCATTTTAAGGAATTCCAGAAGGCAGTCGATCGGCCAATAAAGGAATAAACCTATTAAAAAAAAACCAAGGTGTGTGCTTTAAACCACACGATATAAATGATAACATCAACTAAGCGAGATTAATAATATGAAATATAAATTATAAATAATTCCTGAACGAAGTTAGTCGACTGTTCTACATATCATGGGTGACAAATATTCAGGACGCAGTCTTTTTTAAATTTTTTTTATTTTTGCCAACGTTTCAACCCAAACATGTGGGTCATCTTCAGGATTGTTCTGAGGTTGTTCGTGTACTCTCAGTACATGCAGTACATGAACAACCTCAGTGCTCAAACCACGCCCTGAAGATGACCCACATGTTTGGGTTGAAACGTTGGCAAAAATAAAAAAAAATTTTAAAAAGACTGCGTCCTGAATATTTATCACCCGTTATAAATAATTCCCAGTATTTGTTGATACCAACTAATTTCAAATATACGAAACTATTAATGCAGATCCGGATTATATATATGATCAAGATTTTTGTTAATAATAAAATTGTAAAAATTACTCCACAACTTGAGTGCAAAATGTGCAACACTAAAGAAAAGGAAACACTTCATCATATATTATTTAAATGCCCAATTAATAGTAGTTTAAGGTTAAGAATATACCAGGGTATGGAAAATCTTGATGGGATAGAAATATTTAAGCCAACCAATGCAGATAATATGAGAAAATTATATTTTTTTAATATATCAAATTATAGAGAATTGGTGGGGTAATCTTGAATATTGTCCTCCGCATATTATGGCAAAAATTCCATATTGTACATCGGCATGTAATCTGGCCGGGTATTTTTCTTGTTTGTTCTCTTAGGTATAGGGGTAATCTTTTAATTTAATTTTAAAACATAGTTTAATATTAATATTTTTTAAAAATGTGTATTTATTGTTTTATGTGTATTTATTTATGTATATTGTTGACAATTTTAGATTTTATATTAATTTGATAATTTAAACTATTTTAACTGTCTGACCTTAACTGAATATGATTTTTAATTTATGCTTAGGAGTGTAGTAATGTCTGTTATGTAGTATTAAAAGGAATTTGTATTTCCATAAGGATAATAATGTTTGTTGTTTTGTGATAGACTCCATTTGTATAGGCTTCTTCAGGCTTTTGCATTGTGGCTGTCGATATACTATTTCTCATTAGTTATAATTAAATAATTAATAATAAATTAACGGGATTAATAATAAATTTTAAAGAAAGATACTGGTGGGTCATGTATAAGGTAGGGACTAGTTGTAAAATTTCCAATTCAAGGATACGGTCCGGCATAAACTATCTAACGTAGCCCATTCAATTATGCAGGACTGGCACGTCATCCTGACGTAGTGTCATCTACCGCGGTGACTGGAATCATCAGCTAAGCCAATCGCGGTTCCCAGGAGTGGAAATCGCAGTTACTACAAGAGATGAGATCCTTTGTCAGTGCCGTTCGGCAAATTAGAGAAATATTCAACCTCTGTGTGTTTCGGGGTCACTGGCGGGAGGATGATTCTGCAGTTCCCACTGGCTGGGACTTTGGCGTGGTGTTCCAGTTTATTACTATAATTAAGATCGTGAAAATAGTTTATAATAACTCTATTTTATCGATTATTAAATTGTGACCGTAAACGATATAGTAGAATGTAACAAATGAATTATAGTCCTTTTCTGGAGTTGTCAAGTTATCCTTTCAGCATTTTTCTGGTTATTTAAATTCTGTTGAAAGCATTCGTGTAGTGTGCTAAATGGTTGTTACAATTAAACAGTTTAATCTATTATTTTTATTTTAAGTTCTTTTACTGTTTACTTTTAAGCGAATTTTGGTCATCTAAGCACCTTCTTGTATGGTAATAATCCGTATGTTATTAATGGATGACGGATAACTACGTCTCTTTTTAAATTATTGGACATTTTTTTTATTGCCCATGTTTCAATCCTCACGTTTGAGACGAAACGTAGGAAATAAGAAACTCCATAAATTGACTGATTCCTGACTATCTATCACCTTTCATGTATAGAACAATTCCTAAAAAATTATCAGTTTTTTTCCTTGAATACAATTAATTTCTCAATAATTTGTATTTTTTGTGAACTACTGATGGCTAACTTTAAAATGTGTTGTGTTTACTCATAGAAGTATTAGGTGGGTCTTAAGCCCTTACTTTTCCAGCATAAAAAAAAAATAAATTGCTGCAAATATTAATCAAATAATCCTGAAAACTGATTAGACAGCGGCAGGTATTTTTTATTTACTTCTTACCTGGTTATTTCCGTCACACGATCAGTTGCTAAGGTAATAACAGCTAAATACTCTTGGCCATCACGGCCTTAGAGGAAGGTTTGTCGTTTTCCTGCATTTTGAAAGAAACTAATTATGAAGAAAAAAAAACTCAGTATGTCAATGAAATTAAACAAAAAATTGTTACCTCCTCCTCATTTGAGCGGGCTAAGCTGTTTTATCCACCTGTTACAACTTCCAATATATCTCAGAATATTTTGTCTTTTATAGTAGCGCGGGTCAACATTTTACCTTCCTATCGCTCCGCCACTAACATGACGAGAGCGCGTGAAGAATACAAAAAAAGTCTAATCAAACATTTAGTTTATCATCGCTAAGCACTTAGCGGGCTTGTATTATCATTATTAGAGTATTATTTTATTGTTGTTGGTTAGGACTTTGTTCTTATTTCTAATAATAAAACTTTACAATTCATCCTTCTGTGTTACTTATTTTTTTTTAATTCATCGACATTTTATTTTATTAAAATAATTGAAAATTGACATATACCTTACCCTTACCTCATTCCGCTAACCTAAGACTGAGTTTAGATAAAATGAATTGTGTAGTTGTGTTTGATAAACTGATTTACATATTAGGGCAGCACATATTGACGCAAATAATAAATATATAGTTTTGCTAGAAATTAATCGTCAAATGCCGCTGTTCTTGAGAGATTTTTTAGGCAAATTTGTCCAATATTGTGACTATAGGTCGTGATAATTGTTGGCCGTATATATAGGTCTCTTTTATTTAACGTGAATGAAAATATTGCAATATTTCATGCACAATGTTTTTTGTTTTTTTATTTATTTTAAAAATGTATTACATGAAAAATACAACTAAATGTGAAATTGGTAACATGACATGTACAACATGAAGATAAACTACCCATTGGTAGAACTCATATTAATGTTATATATTAGAAGGACCCGAAGCCATCTTCTTTTCAGAGGCCTCGGAGATTTATCAAGAATAGAAGAGGAAGCAAGGTTAGAAACAAGAGGGTTCGGAAGTTTCAGAAGTTTATTCTAGAAGGAAAGGATGGGTATATGGGTTGAGCTAAATAAGAAACATATGTTACATTAAGGTCGTTACGGATGATTTTATTTGTGACAAAGTAAGGAGCATTGAGGTATTTTGGATTGTAAGGATTGAATAAGAGAGGAATTCGATATTTTAGTAGAGCCCCAAAGCTCGAATATACACTATTTGATATTTACGGAAGATGATGTAAAATATATGCAGTGGATGAAGGGTTAAATATTTATGGATTTCATGTACGGCTTGCTAATTACTAAACAATGTTATTCGATAAAAATAATTATAACATTTAATGTAAGAAAAACAGATGAAATCTTTATTTCTGTTAGGTTTTTGTTAATTTTTGTCTTTTTTTTTTTAATATTACCAAATATTATTTAATTATTATTCTTGAATGAGTGGGTGATATGCGAAATTTTAAACGATGGGTTCAATAATTGAAACGTTCCTATGATGGGTTCAATTTGTTATCTTTGTTCCGTCCTCCATATCGAACCTTATAAATAGATAGCCAATTCTGTCAGCCCATTTTTGATTGTTAGGCGTTCTTAGGTTGTGTTAACTAGTGTTACGCCATGTTAAGTTTTTATTCTACTTGAATCATGTATAGACTTATTTTTATTTATTAACTATATATATTTCCTAGTTATTCTAGCTTATTGTAGGCTTCTATTCTAGTTTTTCATCATTTAATGCTTTTATCTTGCAGCTGATATTTTTTAAAATGAAATCTGATTGTGCAAATATTGTAAAATATTAGCAGGCGTCATGAATGGACACTAAAGAGAAATGCTTCAGTCATTTTTTTTTTAAAGATTCATATTTATATTTTTATTTGTTATTATTATTATTTTTTGTTAGTCTTTGTTTATATCTGATTGGATCAATATCTAAAGAAGTAAGTTTATTTTACTTATTTATTCATATATTTTATTTATCATAGTTTAATTTTTTTTTCATATCAGTGCAGCCTCTAATTGTTAAAGTTTTTCTGTTGTTAGGATTTTGTTCCTACCTATTTTAAATTCAGTAAATAGAATTGTAAAAAATAAATAAATAATAATATTAATAATAAAACATAGGTAATTCAAAAGGTAATTATAGATGAAATTAACTAAATTTTGTGATTATTTAAGGGCCAGTTGTGCAATTGGAGTTCAAGCTTGAACTACAGTCAACCATGAAAATCATGAATGATTGACTGTAGTTCAAGCTTAAACTTGACTTGAACTACAATTGTACAACTTGCCCTAAGATTGCGTATACGACGTCAGTTTATTTAGAGAACATTGAGTATAAGGTTTAAAATCTTAATCAATGTCGGTAAGTCGGAAGATTGAGATAGGACAAATTATGATTTTAATATTTCTATATTAGAATGTTACCAGTGGGTAGTTTCTCTACAAGCGTTTACATGTTATTGTATTCCTGATTGCACATTTACTATATGTATTTTTATTTTAATACAGTTGTAAATATCATGAATAAATAAAATTATAAAAATATTTCTAATCAGTCCTGTGTTTTTAAAGCTTTACAATGCAAGATTTTCCCTTTAACGTGTTCCCTGACTACATCTAGTGATACCCGGACTGTCACGAGGTTTTTAATAACTAAAATACCGCTGATATAACATATAACAGAATATATATAGTATCATAAATATTAATTAAAATTATATATAGTAACTTATTTCAGAATAAAAAAATTAAATTGGGAAGGAAATGAGGTTGGTCATAAGACATAAAATAAATTAATGGTAGCAAGAATATTAAGCAAGGACATGTAAATTAATCATTATATTAACTAAAAAATGCAATTGCGAAAATAGGCAGCCCATTTTTAACGGAGCTAGTTCAGATTAACAGACTGTTATTGGAATTTTTTTTTTGTTGGTAACTGTTGTTACCAGTTATAAAAAATATAAAATATGGAGCAAGGTTATTCTTATTTATCTTTATATTGAGAGCAAAATAAATAAATATCGAGGTCTTTTCACGGGTGTGAAATGCAGAAACACGTTTCACTTGTTGAACGTTCTTATCATACTTTGTAAGCAAAACCATAAATTAATAAAATTTAATAATAAACATTTTATTATTAAAAAGTTATTTTCTGTGGTTAACTAAAGCTTATCGACGCTTGGTAAGTTTATTATACGTGTTAGTAAGTTTATTTGATATATAAAGTATGGTGCTAAATATATTTTCTGTTTTATATGAATGAATTGTGCCCAAAAATGATACTCCGGCAATACTGCCCTGCCACACTTTCTCTAAGGAATGTCGTTGTCGAGAATCGGGTACATTTACTGTACATCTACACTTACTTTGGTCCTTAAATGCAAAAGTTTATTGGTTATACCAATTATTTACATATAGTAACTAAGATTGTTAAGTATTAGTAACTAGTTTACCTTAATTTTTATTCAAAAAATCTATTTTTTTTTACCTTCTTGGTCTTGCAACAGTTAGGCGGCCATGGTCTTGCAAAGTGCTAGACCAAGACCGATTTCGGACCACACTACTTTTTGGGGAAAGCACATTTTTAAAGGGTTTTAAATTTATGATGTGGGACATTTTAGCGGGGTCATGAATTTAGGCCTTTTATTATTATTATGAAGCATTCCAGAGAATCATATTGTTATGGAGTTTCAATTTAGAAGAAATTACAAATCAGGGATCACAAGAAAAAAACAGAGTAAGCGGAATTGTATATCAACTGAAATTTATATAATTCTATTTTCGATAATATCGTTGAGAAGCGTAGATAGAAGCAGTAAAATTTCTTGGCCGGGGACAAGCGAAGGGGGAAGGGTAGCTTTTAATATAGCTCAGTGACCCTACAAAATATATTTTAAATTAAGTTTAATGAACACTTTTCTTCTAGGAACTTTAAAATACTGGATACCATATATTCCTGGCCCCTCTCCCTGAAAACAGTAGTGTACTAATTTTTGTAACAGCTGTCTAATTTGTCCTCTATAATTCCCCGCACGTTGTTCGGAGGAAGTTGTCTATTTCGTTGAGCAACTGTTTCCTGGTTGTGTTTTGTCGCCTTTTTTCCATCTCCCCTATTCCTTTCAACTGGATGGGCACGGCATTCCATTATTACTGGACACGTCTGTGTACGTACGTTTGGCATCTCTTGGTTGATTAATTTCGATAATAAACGTTATTAAGTGGTCATGAGAAATGTTTACCCCTCATCGAAATTTGTAATTATCCTGTTAAAGATACTTAGAACCAAAATTATACATTATTGTCCTCTAGTTCAACAGTTTTCATAGGCCAAAAACAGATCGCTAAGAATAATTACAATATTGTGATTTTAGGCACATTGCATTGACTTAATGTTACTTGGGAAAAATCTGATAGTAATTTCTAAAGAAATTAATATTGTTTATATAAGTGATAGTTTGATAGATGAAGGAATAAATTCTGTTTAAAGCAGTGCCGGATCCAGGATTTAATTTTAGGAGGCTTCATCCTTTTTTTTTTTTTTTTTTTTTTGTATATATATATATATAATGCCAATTACATTGACAAAAAAAAATCAAGAAACTAACTACCTATATGAAATGATGGTGTTTAGGTGATTCTTAAAGTTCTATTAAAAGGTAATTACACGAGCAATAATACTTTTAGAGATAATTATTTAATATTTTTTTTTCACAAAACATGGTTATTTTTCCATTGGAGAGGAGGGGCTTCAGCCTGAACGCAACCCTCTCCCCCGCCCATGGTTTTAAGGAATGTGAGGAAGGTTGACGAATATTAGCGGATAATGTATTCCTAAAGGAGGTAGCATGAATAATGATCGATCTGATGAAGGAAATGATTTTATAAGCTGGAATACATAAATAGATTGGTTGAGATCCTGTGTCAGTGAATAGTCAAACGTAGAGCGCGGAATTTTCAGATGTATGAAGGTTTTTTGGTTACAAGGATTCGTTAAAGAAACACATCTAAAAAATATTACCGCCGGGAACCAGGAGAAATCCGAAGAGGAATCTTATGAAGCAATCCACAAGTGTTCATTCGCAACTCTAGCCCAGCTAATACCAATCATTATACCAAAACATTATTCATTAATCCAAATAATTAATATGTATGTTGCATTCATTTCCATGTATTTAATTCAATGAAAATGAATAAATCGCCAATTATTGATGGATAAATATCTAATTTAAATGATGGCGTGGAGATGGATAACCGTGATTATAATTTGAGAAGGCGCTGGTCGTGGGTTCAGACAAATTTAATACTATATATTAAAATATTATTTTATTAGATAAGCCGACTTTCGGCCCATGTTGTGGGTCATAACCAGAGCTACAGAAGATAACAATTAGGAATATAAATAGGTACATGGTAAAAAATAATATCATTATTTTGTAGTGAAACTATATAAATAAATAAATAAACTATATATATAAATAAACGATCACTGAAATTTTAACATTTTCTTTCCCGCGGGCACTTAATAGTTTTACATATAGGTGTTGGAACTACACCGCTAACAAAGATAAGGAACCGTTTGTATGTTTCTCAAAAATATGCAGGAGTAAGTTCTTAAACGTTCATCGATGGCCATCTTTGAAATCAGCGCTTAGTTTAGGAACTTGACCTCTCAATACATATTTTTATTAAGCCTTTATATGTACTTTTATTCTATTTGATAAAGTAAATTTAAACACCAATAACGTTAATTTTTTTTCTTTACACGCTCATGACCAATAAATAATATTACATATTCTTCGCTCCAACCGATTTCCTATTATTTTATTTATTAATTTTCGTGGAGATTTCTACCGGTGTATTGTGCAAGAATAATCCGGAGTGATATGTTTCTCGTACATTTTATCTATAGCTCATTTTTTTATTTGAATAACTTAGTATTATTTTTTTTTATTGAAAAATATTACAGTCTGTCTTAAAGAAACATTTAAAATAATGAAGAGTAGGATAGTTGGGGTGATCAGTCAAAATATAAATAATAAATAATAATATAATAATATAAATAATAAATAATGATATTTATTTCAACATTTGCCGACGTTTTGACCCGAAGTTAGGCCTTCATCAGGGCAATTATAATAGAGGACATTTATAATAGTGTTCAGAGATCACATTCACATTCTATGTACAATAAATAAAATAAATTATACAGAAAAAAATATATACAATAAATAATAATATAATAACCTAAAAATAAATAAATAAAAAAGATCACATACATACCTATATACAAACTTACTATTAAAAAAAAATGTAATTTGCTAATAACTATAATATGATAAGAAAGATACATTAACATTACAAATTTGCTGAAAGATGTGTGAATTGTTCTTCTAGTCTCCTATTATTAATTATTACTCATTAAGTCAAATAAATTTTACTATTTAACTATTTATCAATTTATTTTTAATTTTTCATTCGTATGATTCATTCAGTGTTGTCTTGTATCGGTCTTTACATTTAATATTAGTTTAAAATTATAATATTTAAAATAGCTATTCCTTCAGGATTTTATCCAATACTCACAATGTGTCGAGCTTTCAATTTCATCATTCTTTACTTGAAACATTTTTTCCCTATATTTTCGTATTGGGAAAAACTAAACCCAATCCTAAAGACCTTCGATTCCTATTGTATGCAAATCTAAATATCCGATACAGAAGAATGTTCAAACAGCTTTTTTACATTCAATGACCGATGCTCGTTTATTGGAAAAGCTGGGCAGAAGAACTATTGAGTTTGGAAATAGTTTCCATTGTATTATAATTTTTTGTTAGAGTTTAGTGACCAGTCTTAGATATATTGTGGTGTAGTAATCAAGGCCTTGGTAGGTTTAATTTGCCCCTAATTTAAATTTAGCGTAACCCATTTTTAATTTATACTAAATAATAATTCAGTAGATTTCTGGTATTTTATCATCATTGGCAAATAACTATGTATATGCTATAACGATTCCTGCTGTCATATAAATTGTTTAATTATTTCCTTAATATTATACAGATAACTAATGTAAAAATCACTAAATATATTGTCCGCTACTTTAAGTTGTCATTAGTTTACGATTTTTTTTTTTCATTTTCAGATAGCCATTTCAAATTTTGTTTTCCTGTATTGTGGGAAACGCGTTGGTTAAAGAGATGACCGATGCTAAAATAGGATCCAAGAAGCCGATAAGATTTCAAAACAAATCTTTTTATTGTCCACTAATCAGCCAGATTCCATTATTTATTTTTTTATTTAAATGTGTTTCAAGAATTTCGAGTTAGATATATTATTTATGTATTATTCTAGCTGAATTTATTAAATATATGAAAATTAAAAGGGCTTTCAGACTATAGACAAGTTTTTTTTTTCAAAACCTCAAGAGGCGTTTTGACGCTACATTCTTTTTTGCATATTGTACCGAAGGTGCCCTATTTCCTACACTGCAAAATCTCTTCTGTTGAAGAGTCGATATAATGCGGTTTTTGAACTCACGAAGTTGTGAAACGAAAAGGTTTTTTGGAAACTGCACATCAAAAATTGTACTCCATTAACTCTTTAATGTCTCAGTATTGTATATTTCAACGTTTAGTTGGAATCAGAGAAATGTCATATAAAACATTCGTTTAATAGACGAATGAGGAAAAGAAATCGAAAACAACCACACAGACGTGATGTATTTGTATTGCAGCTATGAATAACTTATTGAATTCTTATTATCAAGACTATAACGTAAACCAAATATTTGAAAATAAATAAGCATTTATATTATCCAACGTGGTTAATCTCTATGACGTTTGGAGTTCGAATGTTTCAAAATTATCAAAACTCTTAAGTTTAGTGTAATTTTATTGTTGCCTAAAATTACACAGACCAGTCAGTTTCTAATTTTTAACTCCGTTGTTTATCAGGTGCTTGTGCGTACTAAAAAAACATCCCAAGATTAAAATGCTATATATATTTTTTTTGTCCCCTCCTACTGTTAAGTAATGAAGTGTGTCTTTAAAACTAAAATTGGACAAGCGATAAAATGTACAAATAAGATTTGTAATACCTTTTTTTGTAAGATTTATAAAGTCCTTACTAAGATTTAGCACATCCTTTATTGATCGTGCGACTATTTTTTTAAATTCTGTACCATTACTGTAATTTTATTTTACTATCATAATTATTACCTACTTACTATTATTATTACCGTTAAACTTTTTGATATGACATTTCATCGAAATGCCACTAGCTCTCACGCGAGATGGCACGATTTCTGCGCCATTATTGTCCCAATGATTGTTCATATTTTGAACTTATATTGGTTCTTCGGTATTGCCCAAGTCTTAAAAGCATTGCGAAATTCCCGGAGTTGAGTGTCTCTGTTGGATACATCGCATTATTTTAGAAAGCTAAAACTAATTGATAGGTGGGAAGGCATAGCTCTGTGATCAATAAATTCCCGATTCATCATTATTTTATAGGTAACTTCAGTTGAGGTGTTTAAATGTTTCTTTAAAATAAATTTGTTCATACTTGATGAATTATTTTATATTTCATTGATCTCTTTCCAATCCGTTACTCTCCAGGATACCTGACATGGACTTAGCCCTCCTTTCAAGATAGAGGGGGAGAGGTTCGGTGCCTGCGCCCCCCCGCTGGGAGAAAGCACTCCGGGTGATTAATAGAAGAAGCAGCCACCCCCTCGGCCAAGATAAATAGCTGATGGCCACTGTCAAACAACCCTCCTACAAACACTGCTTTACAAACATTAATTTCTTCTTAATGTCTTACCACCCACGTTTTTACCGGCTCGCTCAAAGCCTTAGGCATGTTCTGTTTATACCTAAGTGTCTTCCAGATCTATTTGTGTGATACCCCCAGAAGGTAGAAAAGGAAAGTTTTTTACTTTAAAGGGATAGTTGTACATAAACCAAGTAAGGAGGCTATTTCACATATTGCTTTATTGACGACAAAAAAAAAAAAAATCTTGTGTGTCCACTCACCCGGCTTTCCTACCGATTTCAGAAAAGTTTTTATATATTTAAATACGTCTTTAAAAGAAGCAATTGAATTAGATTTATTTTTCTGAAAATTGATCACCGAAAAGTTTTGTGTTGAAAAGTTCGATTTATTTGATAAACTAAAGCAATGTAAACTGGCTTGTAGGAGATCAGCGTAAAAAATTCAATTCACCGAACTGTTAATAAAAATCTTTTGTTTGATAGCCCAATGTTGTCAGACAATTATTTCTGTTAAAAGTAGAGAGGAAGGTGAAACTTGCGTGATACGTGCACCAGTTTTTTTACTTTCACTTACTTTTATTTTTTCTCTCTCTTTTACCCTCTTCTGGCACCGGGATTCGAACTCGTAACCTTACATATGAAATTAAAATAGCTGCAACTTCGTTAATAGTTGTCGGAGATAAACAATTTTTATATAGTTTTTTCATTAAATGTGTTGTTGGCTGAAAATGTGTTTTTCGGACTCAGAGGGCTTTGAAACGTTAAAATCCCGCAAAAACCGCACTTTGAAAATTTGCGATCACAATACTTTCCTTACCTTAGTAGAGATAAGACAGTAAAAATTAAAGTGCACTCTCTCCATCTGCTTATTGGGTAAAATCGACCAACACACACCTCATGACAGACACCTCTCACTATACAACACCTATTTCAGTTACAAAAATATCGATACGAACGAATAAAACAAAATAAAAAACTTAGACCCATACAAAGGAAACTTCTGTATTGACGAAACACACTAATCAACTAAATTAATTAATATTTAAGTAGACCAGTCCTCACTTAGCCTCATAGCAGTCAAAGCTATATTAAATCAAATTAAAAAAAAATCTATCCCTCTATTAATATAATAATGATTAATTTAAATGTTTTAATGTTAATAATGATTATTCTTTTTGTTTCAGGTAAGACACGAATAAAACGTTCATGAAAATGGCATGCAAGAAGCAAATGGTTAATATGTATCCATTAAGGTTCGTCAATGACTAATTATTTTATTAAAATTAAAATTAACCTATATAACTAATTATTGTAAAATGTTATAAAACTATTAATTATGTTGAAGTTTTTTTTTTTAATTAATCTATACCAAGGAGAAACATGATTTGATATCAAGGCAGTAACTAAGAGGCAATAGTGGCATTCGCCCCAGACAAAAAATTTAAGGAACGACAAATTTCAAACTATTTTTATTTGTAGGTAAAATATTTGTTTCTGCCTGATTGTTTTGATTCTAATCAGTCCAAAATTTTCAATTATTATCCAAGGGAAAATAAAATTTTAATCTAAATTGACAAGAAGTAGAAATCATTTTTTTTTTTATTCCCTCTGATCTCGTTCATGTTGGAATATCTCAAGGAAGATTAACACATTCAACATAACTTAACACATTCAAGAAGAAAGTGTTTTGCCCTTTCACGAATTATAATTCCTTAATTGGGCTGTTCCTTTCTTGAGAGTAATTAGGTATCTTAGAGGAGTGACCAAAAATATAATTTTTATACAAAATTTTATTAAATTTTTTTATATATAATTAATGCTTGATAGAAAACAGTAGCTAACACACTAGGTATAGAGAGTGCCTACCACTGATTCCTATGTCCCTTCTATTTGTATCAAAATAACAACAAAAATTATATAATTTTTAAGCAGTACCTTCGCTTTCCATGTGTTATTCCATAATTCTTTATCGTCATTTAACTGCTAAAAGTCTTCAAGTGACATTTCATAACCTTAAAGAACTTTGAAGAATTTTCTCTTTGTCAAATCAGAAAATTGTACGCTGGTTTAGAGTTTATTAGACATTAATAATAAGTAAATAATTTTTACATGGTTTCATTTTTTTTTCTAATGATTTAAATATAATCTAATACTAAGTGGCAATATTTGAGATCTATAAGATTATATAATATAATATAAAATATAAATGATATTTAAGATTAGGTATCGATATGAATATATAGCGCAATGATTTATAAGATAATAATAAATATGAAAAGAAGCATATGAACAACAGTAAGAATAATAGCTTGACAGTTTAAGGCGTATTTATTTATGAAATGAAGAGCATCAAATCCAATTCTTACTCCTCCAGAATTACTTTTCTTTTATACTTCTCGACGGATAATTAGTGTTTCCCTCCGGGATCGTGCCTGTTAAAATCTCTTCTCAAGGAAATTTCAGCCTGCCATATCGGTAAAGAGAGACAAGAAAGGACTTCAACATTCATAAAGAAAGTGTTTCACCCTTAATGGGTTGCAGTATTTTAAATATGCAACACTACGTATAACTAAAAAAATCACTTCTAGCATAAGCGCAGACTTTCGATTTTGATTGGGGAGGGGAGGGGAAGGGACCATGGATCTAGAAAAAAAGTGGCGGGAGTTTTATTATTAATATTATTTTAGATTAAACGCAGGGGAAAGAGGAGTTTGTTGTTACATTTCTAGAACTTTTTCAGCTGAAAATTAATATTGAAAAATATCTTTCATTTCTTAAGTGTGCACAGCCCCAAATAACAATGTAACGTTTTTCACAGTCCGACTATACGATAAGAATGTCACCTGAAAATTGAGAGATGGTTAAATCATAAAATGCTATTCTGTGTTGATATATATTATAATGTTTGAATATACAAGTAAATGACAGTTTAAATAAAAGTAACCTTTAAGTATCAATGAAATAGTTACTTACCTACCACAGGGCCCTAGCTTAGCCAGCTAGTCAAAATTTTTTTAATCCATTTTAGTTTACACATTTTATTCATTTGTTAAGCTTATTTATTATTAATTTTATTTTATTTTTACCTCAAATTATTGGATGGGCAAAATGATATTCTCCCCTCCTTTCGCCCCTCTCCCCCGATGTCTGCGCCTGTGACTACTAGTCCGAACTTTAATGGCTTCAAGAACTTTCTTAGAAGCCTGAAATTTCTGTTTGGTAACTCTATATGACTGAAAGTTTTCGCCAAATGAATGAACGGTCCAATTCATCAACATATTAATAATATGTTTTTTCTTTTTTATTTATTTCTTTTTTTTTTTTTTTTTGGTGCCTTTATTATATTTGCTCATTCTTTAAAAACGATCCACGCTTAGCCAAGTTTTCTCTTAATCCATTGTTAGTTGGAAATTCCGGTTTTAGGTGTATTTATTGATTGAATAAACGTCACTAATTCCGATTTTCAGTTTTCCAGAATTATTGCTCTTCGATACTCCTCGTTAGAGATGCAATTATGCATAAAACAATTATAAAATTATAAAATTATATGGCTCAGTGTTCTGGGTGACTGAAGGTTTTCACAAAATGAATGAAAGGTCCCCATTCATCAACATAGTAATAATATTGTTTTTTTGGTACCTTTATTATATTTGATGGGTGATAAATATTCAGGACGCAGTCTTTAAATTTTTTATTTATGCCAACGTTTCAACCCAAACATGTGGCTCGTCTTCAGGGCGTCGTTTGAGCACTGAGGGTGTTCAAGTCAATTTATTATATTTGCTTATTCTTTAAAAACAATCCAAGCTTAGCCAAGTTTTCTCTTAATCCCTTGCTAGTTGGAAATCCCCGTTTTAGGTGTATTTATTGATTAAATAAACATCACTGATTCCGATTTTCATTTTTCCAGAATTACTCCTCTTCGATACTCCTCGATGGAGGGGCAATTATGCATAAAACCTAGAGCTAATAGAGGGCTCAGTGTCTGGGTATATTTTAATGCTTTGAGAAGAATAGATGGAGCCGATAAGGCTGTTAGCTCGGAACTGGAGGCCTATCATTATGCCTGCGTCGGGACCATCGCTGCCCGCCATCAACCCCACTCGCCCCGACCAATCGCTGTAAATGTCTAAGTGGCCACTTCACTCCCCGGCTTTAAATTTACATCGCCGCCTTGTGGTCTAATAACATCTCGAGGAATTCGTTAAATTCCTTCTCCGCTTCCGTTTATTTAGCTCCCGTCTTAATAAACTGTTTTGGGGTCGGTTCTCTTGTGCTCAAACAAGTGGAACGGGCCCATCATTCGTCGTACTTCTATAGGACGTGGAACGTCGAGAAGTTTTTAGCCGATATGAAACGTGCTAAATTTTTTTAAAAAAATTAAATAAGAATTTTCGTCATTTTAATCATGCCTAAGTAATTACATAATTCAAATTCACGAAATCATTTTTAACAATATAAGAATATTAAATCGTATAAGTAATGGGAAAATGAATTATTAAATATTAATTTATAGTGATAGTTGTTAATTTTAGATCTATTTTAAGAAGAAGTAGGTCTTAGGAATATGTAGTCTGACTCTACTTATTTATTCTCGACGTTTCGACCTGCGTTGTAGGCCTTCCTCATGGCTGTCCATTAGTATTGATGGATGAAAAAAAAAATCGTGGTTTCCATTTCTATTAAAAAAAATTTCGGTTTAATCTAGTAAGTTTCGTTTATCCTGGTACCAATCCTTTGGTCTTGAGAAGGAAACATCTTGAAAAGCTTTTCTGTTGACATTATCTACTATTATCAACTTTCAGAAAATTCTATATAAACTTATTACAGTTCATCTACAAAGAAAAAAAAAAAAAAAAAAAAAATATATATATATATATATATATATATATATATATATATGTATATATATGACTAAACAAAATGAACGTTTTAAGACGAATATTACAATTTTGAAACTTTGAATCATTTTTTTTTTCAAGAAAATGTGTCTGTGAAACAGATATTTAATTATTACCTTTCAATTTCCTTTTAAATTCTTTATTGAGAATTATTACAATCTGTCACATCTAAAGACAATAGTAATAGTGATAGAAGAGTAGCTCATTCACTCTAATTATTGTAACCTTTAACGATTTATTCCAAAGAGAGAAAAAAAATTCATGTTTCCTAATTTTTAGCTATACATAATTTTAAAATACAATCCATCGAATCAAAAAAAAATTAAAGAAAGTTGCCTGAAAATTTTCCCCAATGTGTTCCAGTTAACCAACCAATGCTCTCCAGAGATTGTCAAAACGTTTTACTTTAAGGCCGTATACCTTAGATGCCTAAATAAAAGTATACCTGCATTTACAGCTCTAAAAAGTGTTTGTAGTTTACTGCTTAGTAAACTACTAATACTATCGACCTTGTTTCTTAGTTTTAATATTTATATCAGTTCTTTTATCATAATAAAATTATTGTTGGTAGGCACTTCACCTCGTTTCAAGTGCGCTTGGAGGGTTGTTTCTAGATACTGTTAAAAGAGGTTTGTCGAGTTGAATTAGCAAATATTGCTTACAAATTTTGCGAAATTTCTTCAAGAGCGAATTATCTTAAATGACCCTGTTTTCCTGCTTTAGCCTGTTTTCATCGCCCTATGTTTTCTGATTTTCTGAGCAATGTTTGTTCGCTTTACCAAACTATTCTAGAAAGTACCGTTAAAAAAGAAAGACATGCTCGAGATATCTAGTAACTGTACACGAGGTCGAAGACGATGTTTCAATAGCCGAGGGGTCAGGCACCCACCTTCGGATCTGAGCGCTCGGCACATACTTTTTGAAAATGGCACCTTCGCTCGAGCAGGCACACGTAGGAGGTGCAAAAAGCCCAGGTTCAAGCCTAGCCGTGCGGGACGGTTCCACACACGAGCGACCTGTTGTCTCTGACCCGTATCCTCGACGCTTCCAGTTAACGGTTCCAGTTACTTTACTACTGTTAATTACTGTAATATCTATAACAATTTTTTAATAATTCATTCCGAAAATACTCACTATTCATACAGCTGCCTAAAAACTGACCGAGAAACCATAAAATAGGGCTTTCGTTCAATGATGGGTTTTTACAGACATTGATTTTTAATTTGATTTCCTTTCATTTACCTAAATGAATTATAACGTCGCTATCTATATTAAACCAAAGAATCTGAAAAACACTATTTTTTTTTTTTTTAAAAAAATAATTTGCGTTTTACCAGCAGCGGGTAAAGGATTTCATTTTGAAGGGATAGCACGTTTATTATTTAGAACGGTAATATAAATATATATATATATATATATATATATATATATAAAATTAATTATATATAATTAATAAATAAAAATTAATTATATATATAATTAATAAATAAAAATTAATTATATATATATATAATTAATTTTAAGTAGCGTTTGAAGTTCTGTTAAAAGAAAAGAAAAAAATTACAAGACCAATATTGTTTTTAGGGATTAGTTTTTATTATTTAATTTTTAATGTCACTTACCCTTTTTTATACAAAAGAAATTTACAACAATTGCAGAATGTTCTGATTTCAGAAACAGGATATTTATAAAAGATGTTAATGATTTAAGGTTGTTTAATACGGTTTTGTAATAAGTCGGTAATGTGTTTTTTTTTTTTTAGATTAACGCCGTTTTATGTTGTAAACCACAAAACAAGAACAAATACATTTGTTTTCACGTTTTAAAAACAACAATAGTTTTTTTTTTTTTTAATTTGTCCTTCAGGTTGTGTAGTAAAAATAAAATATATTGATAAGAAATCAGGAATATGAACTGATGTTATTATTAATTTTAACGAAACCATCTTTTATTATAAACAAAATAAAAAAGTGATTTTCAAGATGTAATTTATTACAATGCAAGTATCTTATTTTGGCATCTTTTGTGGACATTCTTAAGATGCTGGCCTTGCTTTTTACGATATTGGTGTATGGGAATGAACCAGAAAAATATTTTCTAACAAGAACATATATGATGGTTTGTAACCAGAAACTGTATTAATCAGAGGGTTAGTTATATGTAAGTGATTCGACGAGCTATCATTGGTAAATAAGATTGTTTGCCGTTTTTAGTTCTTTTCAAATAATTAGAGTTTCTGAACGCCTCTTATCCTTTTTTTTCACGGATCAGAAGTGTTATATATTTTTAATGAATTCTAGAACTCCGAAAAAAGAGCCATTTTAATTATATAGTTAGCTGAGGACATTTTGTTGGTTTAGGAGAAAATACAGAGAACAGGTGCTTTACGAGACGAGTCTTGGCAGAAGTCAGGTGGCTGGACAGAAAAGCAGATGTTTTGTAAAGTCTACTTAGCGGCGGTGATTAGAAGCCTTAGACCGCGCTGTAGAAGCATAAATGATTGAATATACGAAAAAAGTCACAATAAAACAAAAATTGAGTCAACTGAGATTCTTGTGTATTCTTGTGTATTGACATTCTCTGGAGGGCATTGGTTGGTTAACTGGAACAAGTTGGGGAAATTTTCAGGCAACAAACGTTTCTTTAATTCGATGGATTGTATTTTAAAATTATGTATAGCTAAAAATTAGTAAATATGATTTTTTTTTTCTATTGAGGTTAATCTCAAACCACTTCATTACTTTTAAAACTAATTTAAAAAAATATATTATCGAATCAGACCATTAACTGCGTAAAAGATGGTGAGTTTTCAATGCAGGATATATATTTTTAGAATTGTAGCTATTTAAAGTAACTTAAATTTGCTATATGTATGATATAAAACCTTAATATCAGGAGATGCATACTGTTTTATTTATCATGTCAATCCCTTTTATTACTGTCCGGGATATTGACATACTAATTATGTTTTAATAGCTGGTATTGGGTTGCCATATAAGTCCTTTCGGTTTTTATGTTTATTTTTATGTCACTAAGATACACTTCTTATAATCTCTAAGGTGGATTGTTTATCCTGTTTGTCATATATCAACAACTATATCTGTTAACCCTTGTTGAAACTAGCTTAGTATTGTGTTTGCTATTGCGCTGTGAATACGGAAGAAAATATCATTCATTATCGGCATATTTTATTATATTATTTAAAAAAAGGTAAGCGTGCTGCAGAAACTTATAGAAAAATTTGCAGTGTTTATGGGGATGATACCTTAACCGAACGCACCTGCCAAAATTGGTTTGCCAAATTTCATTCAGGAAATGTTGACATCAATGATGCACTACGGTCTGGTCGACCACATGGAATTGAAACGAGCAATGTTAGTTAAGGCCATTGTTAATCAAAATCCCTGCCAATTAATGCGAGAGATGACTATGACCCTAAATGTGTCGCACTTATATATTGCTTATTCGCACACAAGCGTAGAAAACCATTTGCACAAGCTCGGTTATGTTTCCAGGCTTAGTGTTTGAGTTCCTCACATGATTTTTTTTTTCGAAAATCACAAAAAATGTTATAACTTCAAAACGACTTTAGCTATCTATAAGGAATTTAGGGCCATATAAATTACACAAAATGGCATCAACAGGACCTTCGTAAACAAGCTACAAATGGTTATAAAAAATAAAAACCTGTAAGTAGCTTTTGTTTATTTATTCCTTATATAGGCATTAAATCCAAAACACATTCATACGGTTTTGGATTGCAATAATTTAGCTTTCTAATGGATATAGTAACATCGAATTTGGGGAACATCCTGAAGAGTTATGAATGATCGTGTTGTGTTCCATCAAGACAACGCTAGGCCCCACACCTCATTGGTCACTCGGAATAAATTATTGAGCCTTGGGACCTTTTGTCCCATCCTCCCTATTCACCAGACCTACCTCCTTGTGACTACCACTTATTCCGGTCTCTGCAGAACTCCATGAATAGAAAGAAATTCCAAAAGGAAGAGGTTATCAAAAACCTCTTGAATCAGTTTTTTAACAATAAACTCTTGACATTATATGAACATAGTATTATGCAGTTAGTGGAAAGATGGGAAAAAGTCATATTAAATAGTTAGTTGTCAATATATTGTAGATTAAAATAAATTTGATGTCTAAAATACATTGAGTTTTATTTCACTCTGAAAAACCGAAAGGACTTATTTGCCAACCCAATACATATTTTA